TAGGTATACTGAATATACTCATCACTAGGTATACTGAATATACTCATTACTAGGTATACTGAATATACTCATTACTAGTTATAGTGAATATACTCATTACTAGGTATAGTGAATATACTCATTACTAGGTATAGTGAATATACTCATTACTAGTTATAGTGAATATACTCATTACTAGTTATAGTGAATATACTCATTACTAGGTATACTGAATATACTTATTACTAGGTATACTGAATATACTCATTACTAGGTATACTGAATATACTCATTACTAGTTATAGTGAATATACTCATTACTAGGTATACTGAATATACTCATCACTAGGTATACTGAATATACTCATCACTAGGTATAGAGAATATACTCATCACTAGGTATAGAGAATATACTCATTACTAGGTATAGTGAATATACTCATTACTAGGTACACTGAATATACTCATTACTAGGTACACTGAATATACTCATTACTAGGTATACTGCATCATGAAACGCGTATTTTTCCACTACTTGTGTGAGGACCCACAACTTAAAGGATGTACCTGTACTGCGCGCAGGTATTGAATGTGGTCACTGATGGCTCTGAGCAGATATTCTGGGACTGAGAGGATGTTTTGTTGATGGTCCATCAGAAACGACACCAGTCTGGTGGCCAACAGCTCATCCAAGTCACACTCCTCAGCACTGCTGAGGATGCAGCTTGAAAATGTGTGAACCATCTGAAAAACACAAACATAAAAAAAAGAAAATATTTTTTTTATGGTAACAACCATGGAGACAAACGAGATAAAGCAAAATAAAGTGTGAGTTTAGTGCAGAAAGAATATGTCTGATGGTTGTTTGCTTCTCACCAGTGTTCGGGTGCCGATGGCTGGGTGGAGGCGAGGCATGTCCACGTTCTGACTGATGCGAGACATCATCCTCATGAGGAGCTGCAGCTTCCTGCGGGAAGCAGGGGGGAGGAGGAGAGTGCAAAGCTGCAGGGCCTCGATGGCCACGCGCTCACACTGAGGCTGGAGAATGCCTGCACACACAAACACAGTCTTAACCACTTCATGGCGATGGAGGTACTTTTGTTTAGGAATAATAAAATAAAATCACTCTTCGCAGCCACATCTATTCATTGCTGCCATGACATCCTCAGATTAGACAGATGAATAGATGGATGATGTTAATGAACTACAGATATGATAGAGTGCTGTGGGTAAGACTTGAGAATCTAAAATTGTAGGGTATGCTGTACTATCCAATTAAAAAGTACCACTCAAGAGGGAGGAAGGTTCATTTTGTTTATAATTTGCTTCAGGTTGCAGGAAACTTCCCACATCAGGACAATTTTGTATTTATATGTAAATTTGGAACAGATATGTCACAAATTCAAGGTAAGAATGTAGGTGCATGACAAAATGCAAGAATGTGGTTTAAAGTGGTTTTTTTTATCAGTTTAGTAAAATTCAAAGCAGCAGAATAAGGAAGCAGTAAATCATAAGGCATTGTGAAACTTAATCATAAAAAACGAGGAGTAAAATGCAAAACAAAGCAATCCAGATGAATGCACACACTGTACTTCAAATGATCACTGGACTTTAGTTTCCAAGCTGCTTCTAGACCAGGGGTCTGCAACCTTTAAGATCAGAAGAGACATTTCTGCCCCTTTGTTCACTAAATTAAACGTGTCCGGAGCCACAGTACCTGCTGCAACTGGGATTCTCAACTGGTGACCCAAAGACCACTTTAAGTTTGTTGGAGGGCGCTTTTCTGGAAAGTAGGGGTGATTTTATAAAAACTAAAAATATCTAATGATTTTTAACATTTATTGATATTTTTACACTCTAAGACAAAATAAAAGATGAGATTCTTGTAAAGAAGGAATCAATAATATAGTTTTGGCCCCAGTTTCTAAAAACTAAAACAATAAACTATGTGATTTTTTTTTTTAATTGTAGAAAACTATGTATCCTACTTTGAAAAATAAAGCGTAAAGTGAAAGTGAGTATGTTTTACTCCTTGTAATGTTTCTAGTATTCATATATTTGCAAAATAAATTACAGGAAAACTGTTAAAACTACCCCTTTTATTTCTTGTTATAACAACTACTAAAATTCAGTTTTGGTCAAAGCTTGAACGAGCCGCTGAAGAGGGACCAGAGAGCCGCATGTGGCTCCAGAGCTGCAGGTTGTAGACCCCCGTTCTAGACCAATGATGTCCAATCCTGGTCCTGGAGGACCACTGTCCTGCACGTTTTATACGTTTCTCTGCTTCAGAACACTTGATTTAAAAAAAGGACGATTAACGGGCTTCTACAGAACTGAGGACACGTTCAGGAGGTAGTTCAACCTTGAAATCAAGTGTGTTCAGCAGGGAAACAACAAAAACAAGAACAATAGTGGCGTCTGAGGACAAGGACTGGGCAACACTTTTATCTGTTTAAAATGAGTGCAGAGCTCATAACAAAAAGTGATTTCCATCTCATTTAACTACTACAATCTTTAAGTTGAACTGGATTATAATATCTAATATGAGTCAGGAAGAAATTTCCCATATTAGTAAGAGGTTAAAGGTTAGATGAGGTAAATGTAATTGGGCAGCAGACATACAGGTAAAGGGGAGAGGGTCTTACTGTGCTCATGTTTGGGTTGCGGGAGCTGGAAGTTTCTGGCAGGCACACAGACAGGCAGATTGAGCAGTGACACGGGTCGAGGCAGCTTGGACACGTCCAAAGAACTGAAGCAGCGCCGGACGACAGCGGGCGCAGGCAGCGGCCACAGATTAGAGGTACTGGAGGCGGGTGTGGGCCCACTGGGTTCTGTGGAAGTGTTGGAGCCTTGTGCTTTGGTCGTAGCAGTTGAAAGAGAGAAATGATGGGAAGAGGAGGTGGGAAGACAGGAGGACAAGGGGTGATGTGAAGCTAAAGCAGACAGCTGCTGGCTTGCAGGATTGTTCACATTGAGGCAGCTGGTTGCTCGACTCTGACACTTTATCTCTTTGACACCGTTCTCTCTGCTCTCTCTGACAATGTCCAAACAGCTGCCCACGCTGTTAGGTCGCAATGATGACTTTTGAGCCACGTGGACTGGCAAAGACAGTTTTTTTCTAGTTGTAACTCCTGGAGCCTTTTCTTGAATAACAGAGTTTGTTTTAATCACAGATGCAGAGTCTGAGCAACTTTCCTGTGACTTGATGGTAGGGCTGTCATCCTGGTTGTTGCTGCTATAAGAGCAAGAGGCCAGGCTGTCCATGGACAGAAACAGTTGTTGTCGGGTGACAGGGATGGAGGTATCAAGGATAGTTTCCAGTGAACAACTCCTCCTGTGCGGTCTTGTAGAGAGAACTGTATTCAGGCTTGTGCAGCTGCCTCCCAGATGACTGCCACTTACAGTGGTCTCGTCTTGCCCCGATGCTGCCAGTCGTGACTGAATTGTCCCACTGAGCACCTCTCTCATAGGCGACTCTGTCTCATCACATGACCCCTGTCTGAGCAGTGACAGGAGAAGACATTCTGTGGAGCGAAATGACGACTTGGCTGGAGGGGGGACAGAAGGGAGCCGTGACCTCTTGCGTTTCCCACGTTGAAGCTGACTGGGCACAGTGACGTAGCCACAAAACGCTGAAAGCAGATGCAGACAGGGAGACAAGCAGAGAACCGAGCATTGCAGGCAAATGGTCAGTGCAAGCAGACAGTGAAGGGGAGGGAGAAGGTTTAGTTATTTTTAGACTTGTAACGCATAAACAGACATCAGCTGGTCACAGAAAACACGAGAAACGGTACACACAAATGGTAGAGCTGGTCAAACTTCTGATAGGACTCCACAAACAACCAAAACCTCTGTTAGGAGTCAAAGACACTGTTAGACAGCAAGTCATATCAGAGGAACTAAGTGAGTGCAGCTGTCCAACAATCTTATTGTCCTAAAATATGGACAGGGAGTAGAAAACCTACCCAACACGTTGATAAACAGTTCGTACAGCTCATGTGTGAGTAAAGGTCGTGGAAGGCTGTAGAAGTAATCAGAAACGGTTTTGAAGACATCCCTTTCAAATCCGGGATAAGACGGCTGGTCGCTGTCGTACTTTGGCCCTGGAGGGAAAAGAAGAGAAAGTCACAGCAGCTAGAACAAGTCTGAACTATAAATAATGGTCTGATATCTTTACATTGAACTTTTATTAACTCCAGGTAAATGAAGCGGAAAGAAGCAAAACTGTAGTTTATTTTTCTGAGGCTTGAAACTCAAGTGTGAACTGTGGTGTAACTCACAGTTAGCCAGACTCTTCATAGCAGACAAAACCCAGTGTGGAAGGTCATCTACAAAAAAGTATAGAGAGGAACGACCAGCTGCATGTTACAACATAAAATACTTTAAAATAAAATAAGACTTAACATATTGGCAATTAATCAACCTACTGGTCTTGTCCTCCAGAGTGACCACTCCATGTTTGTTGACTTTGGTCATGTTGTGGATGATGTTCTGTGGATTTATGCAATGATGGTCTAAAACTTCATGGAACGATGGAACACCCAGAATTCTCTGCAGGCTAAAACACACCAAAAAAAAGCATTATTTACACATGATATCAGGCAGCAACACTTTACCCTTCGCTTTGATTTCATGCATAACATTTTATGAACACGTCTAAATTCTGTAAAGCAAGATAATTAATGCCACGATGTGTGTAAAACTGAAACACAAGTAATGTTTTCATTCAGTGTGTTTGTACTGGGTCAGGGTGATGTCTTTCCAGATTTCCCTTTCATCCTCGGCTGTTAGCTCTCGTCTATGTTGCTGCTGCTCGTCTGATGGCTGATTTGTTCCCTCTTGCTGTGCTTGGAGGACAGGATCTACATTTTCCTGAAAAACGTAGAACACAGTATTTTTTTAAGTGAACTGAAAACCGCAACTGAGCTGATTTCATTTCTGTTTCTCTGCAATACTCTAATTATTAAGATAGATTACAAATAAAAATATTATGATGTCCTTCTCACCAGGGTCTCCTTCTCATGCTTCTTGGCGTTTCGAAACTTAAAGAAACCCTCTTTATCCCTGAATGAGGGTCGTCTTCTTACAAAGCTGGAAGCTGAAGCCTGAGCTGGACAGGGAATGGGCTTCAGAGGAGAAGTGGATGGGAATCTGAAAAAATACATCACCGGTACATCATTTACATTTTTAAAAAAACATTTTTTAAATATTTTGTGGAATCGTGAATATTTCTGCAAGGGTCTACCTGTAAAGCATGTTGTTGTCCTCCAGATCCTCCATCCCCCAGCGACCCTTCACATCTTCAATCACGTGGTTCTTCAGAAACTTTTTCAGGAGCTGAACGGTTTGTTGCCTGGTGACATCGGGGCCAAAGTTGCTGTTGCTCCGAAGCAGCTGGTGCAGCCAATCCACTGCGGCAGAGGCAGTGAAGCAGGAAGCGTAGTGTCTGAAGTTCTGGCGGTGCTTTCGAAGGGGCATGCCGGCCCGAAACAAACGCGTCACCTCATTCCACTGAAAGAGAACAAAGACAAGTTTCTAGATATAAGTAATAAGACAGTAATGTTGATGTAAAATGTAGGCATGTGTTTTACAACTACGTTAAAACTTTCACCATAAGTTACAAAAAACAAGAAGCTGAAATCAAAACAAAGTTTAATAATTTGTTACCGTACTTCTTACATCTGCAAAGCGTATATAACTTTTATTGTGAAACAAGCGGTTTTAGATCCTGGGCATCATCATGTTGATGTTGGCGAAACAAAACAGATTACAGAAGAAATCCTACATAGCAGTTTTTTTTTTAAACACGTCACAAAGCTGTAATTTTTACCATGATGCAAAAATATCAGGTTATTCATTTGTTCAACGTTTATTTATACAAGTTAGTCCTAATGAGTCATGAGGACTCATTTTCTAGAGACTACTGTTATTCTGTTTAGGAAGCAAAATAACAATTTGACTAACCAAGCATGTGAAAGATGATTTTTGTTGGAGTTTTGCACCTTTAGTTGGTAGAAAAGGCATAAATTGTGTTTAAAAAATTGAAGAGTTTGCTCACATATGGGAATAGAGCAAACCATACAAAATGACGTGCATATTTCTACTTCATTTGGTAAAAAAGCTATTGAATTTTTGACTGGTTAAACTTTTCAAAATGAGAGGTGTTCTTTGCTGATCGAAGTGCATTATTAAATATCTTGAATTTATTTACTGATGAACTAATTCGTCCACATTTACTGTACAGTTAGTATATGTTTCAAAAGCAAAACACATTTTATCGACACATATATCAGCAAAACAGACTAGTGTTTGCTAAATTCCAACCAGATTTGTTATATCACATCGATGTAAACGGCATCGACGTGAATTTAAAAAAAAAAGTAAGCTACAACGTTTCTGTTAGCTTAGCTAACAGCTAGCTAAAAGCTTCACTTACCAGTTTCGTGGCCCGGTACGGTCCAGGAGTGATAATATGCGTGCTCATATTCATAACCGACACCACCAAAGCTGTTTTATTTCATACGAAATACCGAAAAAGACAAAAACAATTTTTTTAGGGAAATATTTAAAGATGTTTTGCTAGTTGCTCGTGGACACTCATCGCTGGCTGCTCCCCTTCTGTTTAAAATTACGAGCCGTGTGATTCTGTCTGCTGATTGGACGGTGCGTGGATCACGTGACCAGTGAGAGGGCGGAAGAAAGAAAATTTTTTTTTTTTTTTTTTTTTTTTTTTTTTTTTTTTTTTTTTTTTAAAGAACTTTATTATGAACACAATTTACAAACAAACCAGGCAAACAGTGTAGTACAATATAATAAACAAATTTCACAGGTTGAGTTATTTACATTCAAAAGACATACAAGAAAAAAAAATTAAAATAAATACATTAAAAAAAAAAATAAATAAATAAATTTAGAGGTTTATATCAAATCAAACGTATTGATCAAATTATAAAGTTGTTGAGCAGATTTACTTTTAACCAATTTAAGAGACTCACAAAAAGATTTCAGGTTATTTTTCCAATGAGATAAATTTGGATTCACCTTAAAAAATCTACATTTATGAATAAAGTACTTTCCTAGTAAAATTATGTTATTAATTAAAAATTCTATTTTAGAGTTTTGAAAATAAACACCAAATTTTATTATTGTTAAAGTCAGATCAGGCAATTCAATTCCCTGGGTCTGAAGCCAACCCCACATACTTCTCCAAAAGTCTAGACTGACATTGCAGTTGAAAAAAAGATGATCTAAATCCTCCTCTTCATCATCACAAAATGTGCATCCAGCAGTATCAAACTTGAATCTAGATCTGATAAAAGCATTAGTTGGATAGATGTGATTTAGAATTTTAAAATGGACTTCCTTAAGTTTTGGAGGAAGTGGAAAAGAGATATATTTTGTCCT